AAGTGATTTTTCTCCTTCACTGATATGCGCTAATGAGGCTGCAGTGATGGGCACTGATAGCTGGCACTGAGGAGGCACTGGTAGATGGCACTGATGGGCATTGACAGGCATCACTGATGGGCACTGAAAGGTAGCACTGATACATGGCACTGACAGGCGGCACTGATAGGTGCCACTGAAAGGCAGCTCAGATGGGCACTGATATGTGGCATTGATATGAGGCACTGATGAGCACTGACAGGTGGCACTGCTGGGGCTACACTGATCATCAGGGCGGAAAGCAGATTACCAGCTCTCCTCTCGAGCTGTCAGCATGACAACTCGAGAGGAGAGAAATGCCGATAACCAGCATTTCCCTGTTTACATGTAATCAGCTGTGAAAGGACACAGCTGATCAAATGACTGAGCCGACATCTTCGGCTCTTTCCGTGATCCGCTGTGTCCGAGGGACACAACACACCAGCTATCGCCGCGCTGTGCGCTCCCTGAACCGTGCATGCACGGTGAGAATGGGAGGACGTCATATGATGTCCTCGCAGAACGAGAGAACCACCTTGCGTCCGTCATATTACTAAAGGCAGGCGGGAGGTGGTTAAAGAAGGAAGGGCTAAACAAAAAACCTACTATAACCACTTGACCCCCTTCCCAGGGCATTTTTTGCTATTAAGCACTGTGCTACTTTAACTGGTAATTCCTTGATCATGCAACATTGTACCCAAATTATTTTTTTCAGAATAGAGCTTTCTTTTGGTAGTATTTAATCACCACTGGGTTTTTTAACATATAAACGATAAAATACTGGAAATTATAAAACACAAAAAAAAACTATATTTTCTACTTTTTTAACTTTCTGTTATAAAACATATCCAATAAAATAACATTCTTCATAAATTTAGGCCAAAATGTATTCTGCCACATGTCGTAGGTAAAAAAAAAAAAAAAAAAAATCCCAATAGGTGTATATTAATACTATACTGGTGATCAGCAATTTATAGTGGAACTGTGATAGCGTGGCAAGTTAGCTGGGAGGTACACTGACAATAGTGACACTAATAGAGTGATCAGATATAATACTGTACTAACACTGGCTAGGAATGGTTTAAAGTGTTACTAAACCCAGGACTCTGGATTCACTATATCACGTCTCCCTCAGTACACAGAAGTGCAATTATTTTAGTAAATATAAACTGCTAAACACATTTTCTCTTCAGCATTTTGAGCAGTCTTGTGACTTCAGCAGAGCACTGGTTAAAGCTTGAAGGAGGAGTTTTTCTTTCTGCTCTAGGAGGATGCAAAACCCCTGACCCTCTGTCTGGACAGTGTTGATCACATGCACTCTCCCAAAGAAAAGAAAAAAAACATCTCTAGCAATACATACTAAACTGAGCATGAGCACGTGGCCATGGGTTCACTCTGTCTTATCAGGCGAACATTTGAACAAGAGGAGGGGCAGAGAAAACAGGATTTTCTTTTTCCTGCTTTGCAGAGCCCTGTGTCGTTTTATATATATATATATATATATATATATATATACATACATATATATATATATACATATACACACACACACACACACACACATAGGACTCTGCTGTGATTGGAAACAGCTGATCAGCAGGTCTCAGCCATAAATCACTGGCTGGGACCTGCTGACAAAATCCCGCTGTATCTAACCACAGCGCAGGTCAGCAGCGGTGTGCACTCCCAGACCCGGAGGCTGCCTTGCATTTATTTACGTTGCTGAGCCTGCAGCTGCTGCCATGTGACAGTAAATCTACTGGGACAGGGCGACAACCGGTTAAAATACCACCTCTCCCTCACCCAAATTACATTTTAGCATAAATAACAAGGTAAATACCTTTTTTAAAATGTTTCTATGTGGTCATGGAACCACAAAGCTCTGACCCCTTAGTGTGAAAGGGTGGATGCAGCTGCTAGAATGGAACGCTCCACAGAAAGTTGATAAGTAAAGTTGATTTTAATGTGTATGATGACCAAAAGGCTGATAACACGAGTGATTCTGCTGCTACAGACACATCACCAACAGCAGGATCGCTAAAAAGGCAGCCTGTGTGTCCCTATGGAAATGCTCCCTCTGTAGCCACACACAAGATGGCGCTGGTCCGCTACCGAATCTTGAACGCCATCGATAGGGGCATCTTCTTGCTGTGTGTGGCTACAGACGGAACAAATTTATAGGGACAAACAGGCAGCCTCTTAGGCTAGGTTCACACATCTGATTCCTGCATGTAGGCAGCCTATTTATTTCAATGGGGTGCCTTACATGCAAAACCGCAAGGTCCCTGACCCTTTTTTCAAATCATGCCACAGCCTCATGCGTGAGTGAATGCGCTATTTTGAAAACGCACTGCAACCAGATGGCATGGTACTTCTGTGCCATGTGATTCAATGCCGGCAAACGTACTGCGTTTGCAAACTGTGTTTGGGGTGTTGCTAGCATTGCACTGACACCTGCTACAGGGCAAAAGTGGAGTCTGTTTTGAACGCGGTGCAGGAAACACAGAGTGTACATTTTCCACACTGCGTTCTGGTGTAAACTGGCCCTTAGGCCCAATTCAGTTATCTCATTGTGGGAATGAGCGTTTCCGCTTGTGGTTTTAAAAGCACAATTTACACACGTTTCCACGTCTCATGCATTGGACAACTCATTCATTTCAATGGGCTGCCCTATGTGAATTTGTTGCCCAAAAGAAGCTCCTGCTCCTTTTTGAACAAGCTTAGTGATTGAAAATTTACAACCCCCAAATATTATATATATAGTTATTAGCAGAGGCCCTAGAGAATAAAATGGTTTATGTCACACGGTATTTGCGCAGTGGTTTTCATGAATTTTATTGCACATAAACACTATATAATACCTAATTTTTGTTAGAATATAAAAGATGGTGTTACACCGAGTAAATAGATACCCAACATGCCACACTTTAAAATTGTGTATGCCTGTGGAGCAGTGCCAAACTACAGTACCTAAAAATCTCCATAAAGGAAGCTTTAAAAGCCTTTACAGGTCACCAATTCAGAGTTACACAAGGAGGTCTGGAGCTAAATGTATTCTTCTCACTCTGACGTTTTCGAGGATACCTCACAAGTGTGGTGCGATCACCCTTTACATATGCATGCAGGACTTACATTTACGCATGGGGGAAGGAGGCACTTTAAAAAAAAAAAAAATTTTTCACAGAATTTATTTGAAACTTTTATTTTTACACTATTACTTTATTTTTTGGGGGGCAATGACAGGTCCTCTTTATGAACCACAAATCTCTCCTTTGGCCTCCAATGAAGATTAGACACAGATCGGTCTGACCTGCTGCTTTCCTGGCCACTAATGGCCATGTAAACAAAGAGTTGAAAGTGGAAGAAACAAAAATGCTTCTGGGGCAGGAAGGAACCACTTCAATTGTGGGGGGAGGGGGGCGCGTTCTCTGCAGAAGTGATCGAGTGGCTATTTAGCCACTCCAATCACTTCTGCTGAAAAGGGAATCACCGGCTGCAAACTTTGATACTGAATGATGCATGTGCAGGCATCATCCCAGTATGATCACTTGAACCCGAGCACGTCATGATGTCCTACGGGTGGGAAGAGGCTAAACATGCGTTTTGCACCGCGTTTTGTGGGGCCAATAACAATGGCACCTGAATGCACGATTCTGAACCGACTAAAATGCCTTGTCGGCGTGTCCACTAAATAGTGCGTTTTGCCTGCAGGTGGAGGAACACGTGCACTTCTGACCCACTCAAATGTTAAACCAGGCTTAGCCATCCTGACGCTGGCGACTTTATTGACTTGTCTGTGATTGGATCATTAGTAGCAGTCACCCGTCCAATCTCAGCCTAAGCAGGAACGTTCTCCAAAAAAGGCCTGTCCCTTCCAGTCAGAAGAGTTGTAGAGATGGCTGGGCATGGTGTGTGGTCAGTATGACTCCCAGAGGACACAACGATCGTAAACCGTGATGAGGCAGGCAGCCCTCACGGTGACATCACTCACCTACCGGTCAGGGTTGGCGGAGCCGGGTCTCCCGCTCACTGTTGATATCGAAGACGGAAGACGCGTAAACTGACAATAGAAAACACAAACACACAACCAGCAAGACTCCACCCCCCGGCTCTCTGCGTACCTCGTGAGCGGAAGCGGAAGCGCCGTGTTTGTTTACTTACGTGTGATTGGTGTACGGTGCCGGGTGGAAAGAGAAGAGCCTTCGCCATGGAGTTCCTGTGTTATCAATTGTTCGCACATCCCCTAGCATGGCTCTTGGACTTTTGTTTACAGCGGAGACGGATCCTTGTGTTATGTATATGACGTCCCTTCCCGGGGGGAGCCTGAGCTAGTGCTGTGTTAGTTAATCTACGAATGTCATGGGATGGGGCTGGCAGTTTAATTAACCACTTGCCTTCCGGAGGATTTACCCCCCCCCTTCTGACCAGACCATTTAATATATATAATTGACAATTGTGCTGTCATGCACACTGTACATAAATTAAATTTATGTCCTCCCCCCATAAACAGAGCTTTCTTTCGGTGGTATTTGATCTGTGCAGTTTTAATTTATTGCGCTACAAACAAAAAATGACCGACAAGTTTGAAAAAAAAAAATATTTTTGACTTTACTAGAAAACATGTCAAGTAATAAAAATGTAAAAAATCAAATTACTTCATAAATTTAGGCCAAAATGTATTCTGGTATGTTTTTGCTAAAAAAAAAAAAAAAATCCCAATACATGTAATTTAATTGGTTTATGTGAAAGTTATAGCATCTACAAATGGCGGTATGCATACTGGATTTTTTTTTTTTTTTTTACTAGTATATTAGTAGTGGCGGGACTTATAGCGGGACTGCGGTGGGCATTCTGACACTGGGTGAGAACTAACTGCCACTGACATCCCCAGTGACACTAATACAGTGATTAGTGCTATAAAAAGCACAGACACTGTACTAATGACACTGGGCAGGAAGGGGTTAACATCTGAGGCAATCAAGGGGTTAACAGTGTGCTGTGTTTTACTAGGGAGGCATGCTCTGCAGAGAGATACAAAACAGCATGTCCATGCTGGCAGGAGAGACCTGTGTTGTTTACACACAGGTCTCTCCCATCAGCTTTACCGACAATCGCTGTGTGCCAACTAGGAATCATCAGCCGGGACCCCATGATTGACATCCCTAGCTGCCAATAGCGGTGTGGGTAGGGGCAGCACGGTCGCCCCCTACCTGGAGATGCAAATCACGTATATATACACGTGATTTTGCACAGCCCTGCCACCCTGTAGCAGTACTTCTAATTTTTGTGTTCTGTGAGTTCAGTAATTTTTTTGTTCTGTGAGTTTTAGATGAACTCTTTACATTCTGCTACAGCTGTACATTCTCCTAGCAAACCTCTGCATAAAAACAGGGATTTTTGGTTCATATGTATTGCAAGGTTCATACTGCCTAGCTGTGCCAAAGTGATCCGTCTCTAGTAAGGGTGAGCTGAGGCATGTCCAGAGTTGAGTCCAAACTCTCCTGAGCTATCCAACTGGGAAGCTGTGACAGCTGACAGCCAATCATAGGTGGAGGAGGCATTCTCTGCTCTGCCGCTGCACATACGCAAGGGGCGGGGAAAGCATCTGTTGTCAATGATTGGCTGTCAGCTTCCCAGTGGGATAGCTCAGGTGGGCCTGGACTCGTGCCCAAAAGCGTCTGAGCTTGTCACTGCTCTTTAGTCATACTCCATTGTATTCTGTGCAATAAGCACACTTTAGTGGACATGTAGTGCCAGTATGGGGCAGATAAACAGCTGGAGGAAAGCTACAGACTCAGGTTTGATCACCTACCTACTGTACATCATGCAATATAAATTGAAAAGACAATATATCTGTACACCCCCCCCCCAAATTATGGAAACACCAGGTAAAAGAACACAATTGTTACCTGTAGTGCCTATGAAATGTGTTGGCCTTGGACCCTTTGTTTCTTGGGTAATTTTTACAATAAAGCATTGTCGTCCAAATGCCAGGGGCATGAGAAGTGATGATGTCATTTCTTTAGCCAAAGGAACAGAGTCACAAGCTATTCTGCTGAGAGCATGATAAAAACTTGTTTATGGAATGAACCGTGTTTATGATGTAGTAATCTCACATTAGGAGATAAAAACCTGTTTAAGGACATCTAAGTTAGAAATCCTTAAGTCTGGGGGAGATGAAAAGAGGTTTTGGGGTAGATAAGAAGTAAACGTGTGACTTTTCAGTTAACAAATATGGTGGTTGAACATGACTGTTATCCTCACGGAACCCTTCTGCTAGCTCCTCCTGTGGTGGGTGTGGCACCGCCCACTATTGGACCGCTTCCAGAAAAAGGGTTTATAAGGCGGAGGTCCAGGCGAGACCAGTAGAAGCTCCCTTAGTGGCCAGAGGACGCTCTGACGCTAGGATTTTTACCAAAGCTATATGGGCTTATCGACTGGTCACGCCTATGGCTTCTCCGTGACCCCCTGGGCAGTTTGGTTCAAATGGTATTTGTTCCTGCCAGCTTCCACATAGTTTCGGTAATGTATTCTATGCTGTAAAGCAGTCAAATGATGTGTCTATTTCATGCTGTAATGCTCACATTATTATTTGTGTGTGTTATGCAGATTGTAATGACTATAAGATATATCCTCCTGTGTGTCGTGTGATAATAAAAGTGGAGGTTCCAACAGTGCATGATTATTGCAGTTGGATACTGTTATTTCTTGGAGTGCCAGGTGAATGCTATGATGTGCCAGGGCAGGTATTCATTTGGTAGATTGTCTTTCACAATACATAGAACATGTAATGGTTTAAATGCTGACTAAAAGTACCTGCACGACTGCATGTTGATTGTGTGCGTGTATATGACTTATTTTTAGTAATTGCACCCATCACTATTACATTACCTAATATGGTGTTGGACTGCCAGTGGCATCCAAGACAGCCTGAATTCTCCTTGCAATTGACAAATCAAAGTCTTGGATGATGGATAATGGAATCTGATATGACTCTTCATGCTAAAATCGTTCCAGTGGTCATAGGGATGCCAGAGGCAGAAAACAAGCCCAAACCTTGTTCTCCAAAATTGACCATAGTGGCACTATGATATTGAGGTCCAACGACTACGGCACCCAAGGAAGGTGCAAGGCTTCGTCTGCATGCTTGTCAGACCACAATTTGACAACACAAGCTGTGAAAATCAGAGCATTATCATCTTGGTAAATGGCGCCGTCTTCGGGAAACAGTGTCTGCACCATGAGGTGCACATGGTTGGCCAATATTTGTACATAGTCGCTGGCAGAGACTCTACCTTTCAAGGTGGTGATGGGGTCTGCAGAATACCAAGATATGGCTGCCCAAATTATTGTGCTGCCACCACATTTTAAGGTTTGCACAAGACAGTCCTGGTTGTAAGTTTGGGATGGTGTTTGCCACACATAAACACGTCTGGTGGTTGGCAATAGGGTGAAGCTCGATTTATTGGACCATATTTCAGTTTTCCATTGTTTGAAAGTCCACGATTATTGGGAGTTACATCCCTCTCTCCTCTTCTGAGCATTAATATCAGTTACTAGTGGTTTGGCATTTGCAGCTTGCCTGTAAAAGTTTTGCAGTTACCTCTGTACAGTTTTTGTGGACACGGGCTTTGGAAGACTAAGATTGGGCTCTGCAGTCACGTTTGCAGTAGTTGTTTTCTTATTTTTGGGTCACAATCCTGTGCAATGTCCTTTGTCTCTTTTGGTCAGGTGACCATGTCAACCACGCTTTTGCTTATCAGGCGACGGTTTCCCGGAAACTGTATATGCCGTCATAACCTTCGATACTGTACCTTGCGACACTACAAATAAATTGACAACTTCAGTCACAGAGGCACCAGCTAAGCGGGCACCAACAATTTGCCCTCTTTGAAGCTCAGTAAGATCTGACATTATTTATTTATTACAGGTACTTGTATAACGCCATCAATTTACACAGTGCCTTACATATACATCTATATATATTTTGTACATTCACATCAGTCCCTAACCCTCAAGGGGTGTACAATCTAAGGTACCTAACTCACATTCATACATACACATACTAGAGCCAATTTAGACAGGAACCAATTAACCTACCAGTATGTCTTTGGAATGTGGGAGGAAACTGGAGTACCCAGAAGAAACCCGCACAGGGAGAACATGCAACTCCAGGCAGGTGGCGCTGTGTGGTTGGGATTAAAACCAACGACCCTAGTACTGCATACTGTGTAAATTTGCTGTCCCCTCAAAAAAATAACTCACCACACAGCCATTAATGTCTAAACCGCTGGCAACAAAAGTGAGTACACCCCTAAGTGAAAATGTCCAAATTGGGATTAAAGTGTCAATATTTTGTGTGGCCACCATTATTTTCCAGCAGTTCCTTAACCCTCTTGGGCATGGAGTTCACCAGAGCTTCACAGGTTGCTACTGGAGTCCTCTTCCACTCCTCCATGATGACATCATGGAGCTGGTGGATGTTAGAGACCTTGCGCTCCTCTACCTTCCGTTTGAGGATGCCCCACAGATGCTCAATAGGGTTTAGGTCTGGAGACATGCTTGGCCAGTCCATCACCTTTACCCTCAGCTTCTTTAGCAAGGCAGTGGTCATCTTGAAGGTTTGTTTGGGGTCGTAATCATGTTGGAATACTGTCCTGCAGCCCAGTCTACGAAGGGAGGGGATCATGCTCTGCTTCAGTATGTCACAATACATGTTAGCATTCATGGTTCTCTCAATGAACTGTAGCTCCCCGGGGCCGGCAGCACTCATGCAGCCCCAGACCATGACACTTCCACCACCATGCTTGACTGTAGGCAAGACACATTTGTCTTTGTACTCACCTGGTTTCCGCCACACACGCTTGACACCATTTTAACCAAATATGTTTTTTTATCTTGGTCTCATCAGACCACAGGACATGGTTCCAGCAATCTATGTCCTTAGTGTGCTTGTCTACAGCAAACTGCAGGCTTTTTTGTGCATCCTCTTTAGAAGATGCTTCCTTCTGGGACGACAGCCATGCAGACCAATTTGATGCAGTGTGTGGCTTATGGTCTGAGCACTGACACGTTGACCCCCACCTCTTCAACCTCTGCAGCAATGCTTGCAGCACTCATATGTCTATTTCCCAAAGACAATCTGGATATGACGCTGAGCACGTGCACTCAACTTCTTTGGTCGACCATGGCGAGAGGCCTGTTCTGAGTGGAACCTGCCCTGTTAAACCGCTGTATGGTCTTGGTCACCGTGCTGCAGCTCAGTTTCAGGGTCTTGGCAATCTTCTTAGAGCCTAGGCCATCTTTATGTCGAGCAACAATTCTTTTTTTTAGATCCTCAGAGTTCTTTGCCATGAGGTGCCATGTTGAACTTCCAGTGACCAGTATGAGAGTGTGAGAGCGATAACAGCAAATTTAACACAGCTGCTCCCCATTCACACCTGAGACCTTGTAACACTAATGAGTCACATGACACCAGGGAGGGAAAATGGCTAACTGGGCCCAATTTGGACATTTTCACTTAGGGTGTGTACTCACTTTTGTTGCCAGCCGTTTAGACATTAATGGCTGTGTGTTGAGTTACTTTGAGGGGACAGCAAATGTACACAGTTATACAAGCTGTACACTCACTAATTTACATTGTAGCAAAGTGTCATTTCTTTAGTGTTGTCACATGAAAAGATATAAAATATTTACAAAAATGTGAGGGGTGTACTCACTTCTGTGAGATACTGTATATATATTGTGACAGTATGAACGGCAAAGTGATGGATGGAGGATATGTGTCACCTCGCATGAGGTCATACGGTGAGGGGTAAGGTGGAGTCCACTCCGGGTTTTCGGGGCCACAATGGCAGAGGTGGTTCCGGACCAGAGTTTGGGCTCCACTGATGACCACCAACAGGTGGTATAAATAAGACAGGGCTGGAGCAAGGAGTCGCTCGTGGCCTGGGACTCAGAGAGGTATTCTGAGAGAGCTGTGTGTACTATACCTACAAGGAAAGGTTTGCTTTTGTTTTGGTGACAGGGAGAAGCCCTTCACCTCTGAGAGAGGAAACGTCTTCTGTTTAGTTAGTGGCTGGATGGCAAGGGTTTATTTTGATGTTTTGTTTATTTTTGATATTTTTTGCAAACCTTTTAAATAAAACTGACAACCAGTCAGATTTTGACGAAAAAAAATTCA